CCGTATTGGTTTATGGATGTCTATTCCATAGTCTGAAAAAGATCCATGCTACATTATTCATTTTATTGTTCAAATCGCCACAGCTTTATTAGGTGCTGGGCACTGATTTAGTTTGCATCCTGCATCCTTACAGCACAGCTCATCCTTTTGTTTTTGAACACTTCCCTGTTTCCTGGATATTATAATAAATTCTAAGCTCATTTTCCATATTACCTTTTTCATACATAGAATTAGTCATTTTTATAAAGAGTGCTTGTTTCTGATTTTAAAGAATAATATTACAATAAAATATTGTGATACTGGGTATGTGTGTTTTTAATGAGGTGTAAGTACTTCTGGGACCTCTCAATGAAACAGCCTAGTAAATGTGCATGTTTACATGAACCCATGTTTATGGACACTTCAAAACTGTTTATGTATCTAATCTTCTGTAACTTGATTACATTAAAAATGAGAAGACACTGGACTCTCCACCCAACTATGTTACCACATGGACCTTTCTAGTCTTCCTTCCTTGACTGTCTATAACCACCCACTGCAAAGTGAGGAATCCCATCCCACCATATGCCATTTTATTACTTAGCTGCACAATTTCAGGACACATGCAGAGCAGCATCAGAAATGTAATGTTGTACCATTGTAGGAAACATGTTTATCTACTAGAATAGAGTGCTTATGTGTGGTTTACAATTAAAACTTACAGAATCTCCTCATTTTCAAAGTTACTTATGTCAGCAACTTCATTTTCCACTTTCTTCTGTGAAGTCATTTCAATTACACGATATCATTTCATTTGTTTGAAATTCTGTAAAAGCCAAAACTAGAGTCAAGTAAACAGGATATTCCAGGAATTTAGAGGGTGGGTGTAAAATAAGTAAAACAGGCTCTGTTTAAGAAGAGTAAGAATATTCTAGTGATATGCAACGGTTGAGACATGACACAATTAATTTGTCTAAGCTCATAATTTCGTGATGGGAAATATAAACCTAAATATATACAATTAAAATATATTTAGCAGTTCATTAACCTCTGGATTAAATGCATACTCTATAAAATTATCTAATAATGTATTTGGGACCATGGGAATGTTATGAGATACATGCAGCAAAGAATGAAGTAATTTTCCTGACTTGCATATATGATGTTTCCATTCAATGAAGACCTTTAATTAAGACAAAATCTACTTTCTATGTGGCCCAGGCTTTTTCTTCCTGACAAGCAAACAACCCAGAACATTCTTTTCTTTCTTTGAGAAAAGTTTTCCCCAAACTTCAGCTCAGTTCAGACATACACTGTCCCTGAATGGGCATGTACCCTCAGATAGGTACACACACCTGTCAACGTGTGGGCTCTTCTGTCAGACTAACACACCTTTCCTCATGTGGATTCTTCCCTCAGACAAACACACATGTCCCCACATGGACTCTTTCCTCAGACCACCACATATGTCCTTACAATTACTCTTTCCTCAGAAAACAGACATTTCCTCATGTGGACTCTCGTCTCAGACAAACATGTCTCCTTGTGAACTCTTCACTCAGATAAGTACACACATTTCCACATTGACTGTTCGCTGACACAAGAACATATATCCAATGTTGAATAATTTTGTAGCAAAATGATATCAAGATAATTATAATTATAAAACTCCTTCCAGACAAGATGTAGATACACATTTTTTTTTTCATTTTAACTTAACTTTGCCTCATTGTCAGGAACAGTGGTTTCCAACTCTAAATGTACTGATCACAGACAGATGCCTGTTTTCTCTGGAAACGTATTTCTTATGTTCTTACTGGTCTTATTTGTCGATAATGTTTGCTGCTATGAAGATACCTGGACAGTGTCCACATTAGAGACTGAGAAAGAGTGATGGGCAGATTAACCCTGTGCATCCAGACCCAAGAATCCTTTGACCCTGCCCTCTCTGAAATG